GTCGTCGCTCTTTGGCACGCGGTTAGCGTTGCGTATCTTGCGGCCGCACTCGCTCACTCTCACTGTCTCACTGTCTCACTGTGTCTCTCTCTCATCTCTCTCATCTCTCTCATCTCTCTCATCTCTTTCTCATCTCTCTCTCCTCTCTCTCTCTCTCTCTCCTCTCTGTCTCTCGTCTTTCCGTCTCTCTTCTCTCTCTTCTCTCGCAGGAGGATCCGGGCAAAGAGCCACATATAAAGGACTCTTCACCCCTGCCTCCAAAAAGAGCGCCGTGTTTTTTCCTACCTCGCTGCCCTCCACTTTCCCATTCTGGAGCGCTAGCTTTCGCCCCCCCCCTTGGCCTCAAGTTTTCAATACCCTGGTCACGATTTCCTTATATTTTGCAAACATTAGGGGGCTAAGGACCTGTTACGTTCCTGTGACGGTTTTGGAAGATAATTTGCAGTTTTAGAAGTCTCCTGGAGGGGGTTGTTACGGAATTGTTACGCTCCTGTTACGCTAAATAGTTGGCCAACAATTCAGGCCTCTTTGCTCTTAATGTCGAATAATCAGCCTCAAAACCACCAAGAACACCTGGGTTATCACTCAATATCGCCTTTGATTTCCTGAAGAGATCATGAACACTATCTTTGGTTTTGACGGAACTTTAGTGGGACCAAGTAGAACTAGGCTCCAATAAAGTAAATAGTGGTCATTGTCTCCATTTCTATATGAACAAGTTTAACGAGGTCATTGACTTACAGGGTAGCATTACAAAAACGACGAACTGTTTCGCGTGATCGCTCAGTATCGTCCAGCCAGCGGCGGCACTATGTTGCCCGATTGTTTCTGGCGGGTACGAATTTCCGTTAATCGTATTAATGTGCGTGCTTCCTTTTATTATAGAATTGTTCTTTTGCACCGGCGTTGCACCAAACGTAGCCAAACATAGAAAGCACCCAAGATCTGAACAACATTGAACAACTTCATGTTCATTTTGAGCACGGGGGGTCCGAACCATGTGTGTTCACCTGTCATGACTGGCCCTTCTTTCGGCCCAGCCGGACGGCTTGGTAGAGCACGTTTCTTGGTCGCGCACCATGGGGGAGGCAAGAGCTTCATTGGAAGCGTGGGGGCTGGGTTGCCAATCATGGTTCGCAAAATTTGGAGTCATATTTTTTTGGATCCCCGTGGGCTTTTTGCTATAGAATGGGAGGAACCAACTCTCCGTATAGAATGATTTATGGAGGTGACATCTAAGTCCCCTGTGTTGTGGGAACGTTAAGAAAATCTCAGAAGTAAACAACATGTTTAAACTAGTAGCCACGCAGTTTCGATCTGTTTTTTTTCGTTTACGAAATGAAGTGGCCAAACCTCTGTATTTCACATGTTTGGTAGCCTGTCACTATCACGCAGAGTGACGCAAATGCATGTTGAGGGAGTTGGGGCACCTCATTGCACAAGGAGGGCAAATGAACGTGTTGTCACTGTGTTTGTGTTTGTATTTGAACCATTTTGTTGTGATCAGTTCGTGAACTCGAAGAGAAATTTTGAAGGTCTTTGATTTTCAACCCCTCCTCACGTTATGGAGGTCGTTGGGTATCATCAGCAAATAGAGTTTTTTGACATCAACCCTCCCCAAATCAAGGAAAACGTGTTTACCTCACATTCCCTTGGCTTAGGTGCCTCAGGGGGTTGGGCCCCCCCATTTCATGTCTACAATATGGCGCGCGCCTGCGCGCGCCTCCCCTACCCTTTGGCACCGGCAAGTTTTGGGGCTGGGAAATATCCGGAATGCTACACGATTGAATGGTTTGGTACCAAGGAAACCCTTGACGTTGGCCACGTGTTGTTTGTACGCGGCAGGCGGCCGTGCCAGCCACCTTGGCTGGGTACGGAGGAGCGCCATCACTGGCTGTTCCGGAGGCCGGGCGCTAAGGAGGCCATTCGCAACACCGCTCATGTTTCACAAGGGTTCATGGTTCACATGGTTTTTCCTGTCCGCAGGCCAGCTCGTGGCGGGACGATAGGCTGGGATGTTGTGCCGGTGAAGACCCCCGCATCGTGGGAGTGCCCAAACGGCTAAAGTGATGGTGCTGTGATGCGAAATGGGAAATTGCAGTTTAGCCGAATTGAGTATTTGGAGGACGTTTGCTTTCCCGATGTTTCCCGTGTTGCTGGGCCCCTTCCTTGCGATTCCGCTTGTTTCTGATTTTGTTGTGTGTTGGTTTTCTTTGTTTTTGCTGTTGTGTGGCATGTCGCGCGTCAACATGTGTCACAGATGTTCCTTTGAGATCGGTGAGTCAATGAACGCACTGACCGGTCGGAATGCAGGAGAAATGCCACGCTACTGCCGCCCAGAAAGTTACCAGCGGAATCACGTTGGGGGGCCTGGACCTACAAAACCCATGTCGAAGAACCGTTGCGCTGGTTGATGCTGGTTGGTATGAATGCGCATTTAAAAAGAATGAATGTGTTTCTGTTGGACGACAGGGCGATGAGCACTTCCTTTTTGCAATGGGATTCGGAACCTCGGGTTGACCATTGCAATTCCGTGGCTTTTCTTGAGATCCCAGCAGCCCCCCAGTAATAAGTGGTGTTGGAATTATGTTTTAAATTTGTTCATTTTTAGCCATTGAAAATTACATGTTTTACCCGATTGCCCACTAAGTGGACACTGCTTTGCGAAATGGAACGTTGCCTTTGGTCACGTGGCCGATTTGTTGGATGATGTTCGGGCAATCGAACTCATCACATTTCAGGCTATGCCGATCTCATCACTTCGCGGCAGAGAACGCTTGGAAGTATGGATTTGGCAGCCCAGGCTGGCAGAAACTGACTGGCACGTTGTGGAGGTGCATCTTGTTTGTGCATGCGATACATTTAACGCAGAAGGAAAAGATGGTGGCCCATCGGCCCATGCCAGGGTTCGATTATGTTTCAATCTGGTGGCATGATCTAATATAGTAATTCTTTGTGACCTGATCAAGGATGCAAGATTTGTTGCAAGGACTTTGACGCAATTCGGCAACTGTTTGATTTGATGTGGTGTCATGGATCAAGGAGGGTTTAGCGACTCCCCTTAAGAAGGTGCGGGCAGACCACAAATTTGAAAGGAACCTTCCATGAACCAAGGCGACAACCCACAAAGGGCTTTGGAAGATTAATCATTTTTTGGGGGCAGTGGTAGGACGGATAGGGAGGGGCCCACGTGTCATCACTGGACTGTGTTTTCCAAGGAAATTGTTGGAAAGGTAGGGTTGCACAGAAACTGTCAATCGATTAGGCGCAGAGTGCCCCTGTTCCACGCGACAAACACGTGGGCACACATGGGGGGGGGAATATCCTCCGTGCTTGGCCCTATATAAAACATAGTGTTGGACCGTTGTTCTATAGAGAGTTCCTCTTAGCAGGTTTTCCGGAACCATTCACAACATTTTATTAGAGTTGTTATTTGTGTGTGGCCTTTCTTGCTATCCCCGTGTTGTGTTTCGTTTGTGTGGTGTTGCATACTATAGTAACCCAGTTTTTGCTACTGAGATCTGGTTTTATCATTTCAATCCCTCAAGTATTCCTCAAGTGATATATTAAAAATCAATTACGACTGCCGCATTTGGCTTGGCGTTCTTTGAAAACACCCACACTAGTCATTTTAGGGAGGTTGTTACCTTTGGCCACCCATAGAATGCCCGACAGGTGACCCCAGTGGTAAAGCACGGAGGGGGATATATGTCGAAAACAACATGTTACCCCACGAGAGAAGGCAATCGGACTGCACCGAAGCCGAGAAAAACCGCACTCGTGGATGGTGCGACCGCCATGTTGGAGGGGGTATGACGGGGTGTCCCAGGAACATCGTCAAACGGCGATCAACGGAAGAAGATGTTCACTACTTGCGGGGAAAGGCCAACCTATCCACGGTGACATTACATGGTACACCCTGGAAGACTAACATGGACCCTGAAAACCACTGGTTGGTAGAGGAAAACACTCTTCCAGTGGCCATTGGACCCGGGTCTATGTTAGTTTTCGGGAGTGTAATGGGACATACCCAACTTCTACGTGTATTTGGCGGTGCGGGGAAGAGTCCCAGGTTTCAGATCCAGACGCAATAAGCGAAGGCTCCCACCGGCCAGGTGCGGCTACCCACAGGTTGTAGTGAAGAGGAATGGCTGGCGTTGAGCTTAGTTGTTTGGTTTACACTACGTACGTGAGAGCATGTGAGAGTTCTAGTTGATCCACCATTTCAGAAGTTCAGGGAACGACGAACCTGAAATATTGCCAGTGAGGCCTTCAACACTGTGGAGTTATTCAATGAGTCCGGGCCCTACAAAACAATCTCCTGGAGAGCTAGTTTCGGCCAGAGTGCCTATTGCTTTTAACTTGCCAAGTCTGCACCATGTTCACCGATATTCACAAACCAGCCAGAAGCGGACATTTTGCCCGATATTGCCCAGTTGGAAGGGCTTGATATGGAACTGGTCCCCACTTCCTTGCTCAGGTTGAACCTCCTGGTCGGGGCCATTAGCGTGATGCCATCCTGTTTTCATGGCCGCTGAAGAACCTGGGGTGCATCCAGACGGTGTTCTGGAACTGTGGAACTGGACCCTTGAGCTGTATGTTTCTGAAGGCTCCTTTCTTAGACCTGCGTGTATATAACCTTTTAGCCAAATCTTGATGCTATAGACTTGGAGTTGTGTTTTTCTTTACCTGTGTTCTGTTCTACTTTTGGCCGCCGGCAATGGACGTCGGGCACTTGGGCACTTGGATGCCAGGACATTTGCACAGAAGCCACCTGTCCGACCATGTCGGCCGGAAGCTTTGCGTGGCAGTGGGCTGATGGTGACAATCGGGCCTGCCCGTCATGATCTTCGAGCAGAAACCGCGGGGTTTTCAAAGGCCACTGTTGTAGCTAGAGCAGCTTGATGATGCCGCTTGATCAATCATCCCAGCACACCATAGCATACCAGCATTTGAAACAAGATCAGGTGGAGTGATCAGGTGGATAGACGATCATGCGAATCATGTCCACCAGGTTTGGCGTTGCATCCTTCATTGTCCACAGTTCTTCCCCTCTTTGGACAGAGTAACTCATCCAAGATCATTCCATTAAGAGGGTGTACTTGTACCTGGATCGGAATGGGTGTTCCTTCACTCACTTTCTGAACATGTTTTGAGGCCAAAGGGATCGCTGTCGTCATGGGAGATCTGTTACGAGCCAGCGAACCTTCCATTTCGCTCCAGGAACTGGCACGAGAACGTCTGCTGAGCTTGCCCAATGAACTGGCACAAACTGATGTTCATGTCACTTCAACAGACGTTTAAAATGTTTAAGTCCAACAACAATCAACAACCCAGTGAATTGGAATTTCACACATTCGAGGGCCTCCTGCATACCGAGCAGCCTTTGCCAGACGCCACAGCAGCTGTCAGCGCCGAAATATATGGAGAAGCTGTTGGTTTGGGTGATGGCCCTAGAGTTTTTAATTGAGCTGTGGCAGTCAGAGTTGGCGCTCCAGAACTTGAACGGAACGTTGAAGCCAGGACGTCGTATGCGTGGCCAACAATCCCCATCCCCAACACCACGGATTGAAACATAGTCGGCCTTCTTCGATCCTGCATCTCAGGTCGAGTCCCAGCTAGCGGATGAGCCCGGGCGCCCCAAATGCGCTTTTTCACCGCGCTGCGCAGCACACAGTGAACACCACGTGTTACATCCTGGATCATCCTGGTGCAAGGCGTAGCTTGGTAGCTCCATGGTGTTGGAGTTGCGATCGAGCCGGCTGGTTGGCCGGTTGGTTCCCCAGCACTGGAGCACGCGTAGCTTGCGGGTTGGTCCTGGCCGATCTTTCAATCATCGGGTTCCCAAATGCACACCGACACACTTGTGCTGGGGCTTAATGTTGTGGCATGCATTGATTTAAGCATACGTATTGGTTTGTTCTTCTCTGCGAATTTCTGTGTGGCCGAGATCCTTTGGTATAGCTATAGTTGATTGGGTGCCCCCCAAATCGGTGGCTTTGCAAGGACTCGTCGTGAGTGAGACGGTCTCACTCGTGAGGACCTTCTTGCCGGTGCAGAAGGGGCAGCCGTTCCTACCCAATTTCAAGAAGGCTGGCTTGCCGCGATCATGTTTCGCTACTAGATGAACCTGACCTTGAAAAGGTCTTCATGGGTAGAATGAGACTTCGGTCTTGGTGTTCTTGCGGGGATATTGGACGAAGCAATCGCGGCACGCGGCACGCTCGTGTGCCATGTGTGATTTGCAGAGAGTTTTTGTGAGGGTTTTTGTAGGGCTTCGTGTGAAACTAAGAGGTCGAATTGGACCCAGTGTCACGGCGCAGGGAGTTACAGGATCCGAGTTGGAGGTATCAGGGACGGGTGGGGACTTTTGTGCAGGGAGTGGGAGACTGACGCGCTTTAGCCCCCAAGCGAACCCCGGGTGCGGCCCTATCCACTTGGAAGAGCGAAGTGTTTCGAAAGAACTGCGGCGGTCACCGGATGTCACCGGCAGTTTTCGGTTGAACTGTAGCTTAGTAGAAGTCTTAGTAGAGGGCCGCGGGTCTTGGGCCGCTTAGAGTGCGAGTGACGCCACAAGTTGGGCTTTGACATACCTCAGATGAAGAATGATGAATCATTAGATATAAGATGATACGGTGGTGGTTTCAGAGTAGATGGCACAGACCCGATGTCCTTTAGGGGTCCATATAAACCACCTCTTGGGGTTTGTGCCATTGGTCCTCTCAATCCACTATATAAGAACCGTCGCCAATCCACCATGTTCTTCCAGCTCATCACGGCATCGCAGACGTGGCAGTGGGCCGACCTGCGATTGCCAGGGCATCAGGGTCATCTACAAGCGACTCTTCCGGATCTATGCGCATATCTTCCATGCGCATTTCAAGGCGGGAAAGCCCACTTGGGCACATGAGGGTCTAAGGATGTCTAAGGATGTCTAAGGGAAATACCTGCCAAGATGTTTGCTAATTGTGTTGCTACGACCGTGTAGCACCAGGGCATCGCTACGGTCCATACAGCGATCGGACGCTGTATGTCAAACCGCCACGTCTCAGACAGTGATCGTTCACAGGGGGAAGTCATGCAGAACATGGCAAGCTCCCGGGCGCTCCCGGGCGTCTTGACGCCACAGACCAGTACGGTACTGGAAGGATTTGGACGGTGGATGAGCGAACTAGGGGCGCTGGCGGTGCGCCTTGCGGTGCGCCTTTCGTCACGAGAAATTCCTTCAGAAACGCTCCAAATAGTAACTCCTCCCTCGCTCCATGGTTTTCACCTACCACTTGGAGCATCTTGGAGCGCCATACCCTTTTCCGAACGATGCGGTTGGCCGTTTCGCCCATCCGTTGGGACGGTGGTCGACTGGTCAGGAAATGGTGGACAGTGATGCGGATGCCCATTTGTGCCTGACTCAGTGGTGTCAGGCATCCTCACAGTGGTTTGTACATGATATGATCCATGATTGTACAGCTGTGGTTCCATATTGGGAAAACAAGTGACAGGGCATCCTAGCATATGAAGGTGTTGGCAGATCCTTGTCAAGGATCTTGTGGGTCAAACACCTCCGGCAGAAAAAAAAAAAAAAAGCAGACGGGGAAGCTTGACATGGACCCTGTGAGGAGCGTCTTGCACCCTGAAGACAAACACAGACCCTGAACACCACGGCTGGCTAGAGGAAGAACATTCAAAAACAATGAAAAAACATGTTTGGCAAGTTTGGTATGTTTGCTTGCGGTGCCATTCTCAGTGTTGTTAGTTTCCGTGCGTTGCTTTCTCATCATGTCGAGAGATTGGTGCGTAGGAACCACTCCTTCAAGCACTTTGTTTACTTTGTGAAAGAGTTCGACTTAATCGAAGACTCCGAGTGCCTCCCTCAGCATACATCAGCATACGAAGGGCTCGAGGTTTAGGTTGCTCACAATGCGAAGTTCGGTTTTGAAGCAGAAAGTAGCTGTTCTAGGATGTTCTAGGTTGTAGATCTCGGAAACTTCATGAAAGAACACAATCACCACAATTGATGGCTTTGATGTCATCTTCCAATATTTAGTTTGTCTCAAACAGGGATTTGACTCTCCTACTCCTAAATGCCCCGAGCTTATCACAGCTGGCTATTTGTTATTGTGTATTTTCTCTTTTGTCAGCGATTCCTGCTGCATCGCAGCGGTTGTAGCATCGGAGGTTGGTTTTGGACCATGGCGGCGCATTGCATACCAGAACGGTTTTTATCAACAAAGCTTGGAGAGAAGGTGCTTCATCTGACTAGTGCGAACTTCAACAAGAATCATCGTCATACATACGGATTCCTCGTCATCAGCGAGACTACGGATTCCTCGTCATCCCTGAGCTGAGCTTACCCCAGCGTGAAAACCGGACTCCGGCTCCTGCCGAGGCTAGAGCCCATGGGTGATTTGATTCGCCTTTTGATGCGGAAACGGGAAGCTGAAGCCAGTGCAGGTGCAAGTCAGATGGGGCGATTGGCGCGTATGATGCAGTGAGGAAGAAGTTCTGGGTGTGCATTGAAAAAAGGAAGATCTTTTGGTCTGACCTTTTGGATCTTTTTGGTGGGACTTTGCATGCCCTTCCTTGGAAAAGGTAGGGCTGGCGCTGGGTCCCGGGACCTTTTCACCAAGTTGTTCAAGTTGCTGAAAGAGAAATGACGATCTTTACAGAAAGAGGGACTGGGTGAAGCCGGTGAAGCCGACCTCCCTAAGCATCCTTGCCTTTCGTGGGTCCGTGTCTTGCGTCCCCTTGGGGTCAGTCCACAGTCCATACTCGACGACATCGAGAGCTTCGATCCCACTCACTCCGGTCACGACTGACATCGCCATTCGGGGGCGACGGAACTGGTCTCACCTCACCTGGCTCGTAGTGGATTCCCCGCCTGCAGGAGGTGCTGTTTCGCCTTGAGACCGGTGAAGGGAGGTTGCGCTGAGCTGCTGAATCCAAGATTGCCAGCGCCACCGTCGCGCCATCGCCAGCTATAGAGACATGTCACCTCATCGCCAGTCTATGAGCATCCATGAGCTATAATTAGTCACATATAGGTCATATAGGTACTATAGGGTTGACCAACCTTGGCAACATGTGTTTAGAATGTTTTTCGCAAGTCCAACTGTTCCCTTTAGAAATCAGATTGGATGTTGATACCTGGCTTAGTTTCTGCGCTCGTTTGTGGCCGCTCGTGGTCGACCGGCGCCCGACCTGGAAGAACTAAAAGTGGAGTGAAGTTGACCAGGGGCGGTGTTCAAGTCAGGCCCTTTGGGTGAAAGCTCATTTGGATCAAGGTAGAGTTCTGGTGGATCATCCCTGTTTGCAATTGTTCTGTATGTACATTGTAGCCAAGCATTGTTGGAGTCCACCTTCCCACCAGTGCAGGCTGTTGATGCAAGTGACAGGGCAGGAAGCATGCCCAGATCTTGGGGCCGCATCTCATGTTGAAAACCTAATTATCTCGTCTCGACCGATCAGGATCCGCAGTTGAATCACCCAAAACTTCTACTAAAGAACGCCCTCCATGCGGTGAAAAACACCTGCTGCACCTTCTACCAAGGGTCTCACGAAATTCCTGGAATTCACACCAAAATCACCGAGATTATTTTTCTTGCAGCCATGTGTTTTGGGCCAGCCTGCGACCCCCGGTCGATCTAACAACTCAAGACGAAGACCCTTGTCTTTTGAGAAGGGCATTCCATTGATCACCTTGGGTCCCAGGCCTTGGTCGCAAGCCCCGGACCTTGGTTGCAAGCCATGATCGGAACCGACTGCCCAAACAACGACCGCTGACAACAACGAGAGAGCTGAAGAAGGGCGTCGCGGCGCTAGGTCCCAGTGGTGGAGAGCCGACCGGATCACCTGTTCATTGACCTGTGGGGAGGAGAAAACCCATTGTGGGCCCTGCAAAAAAACATACCTACTTCTCAGGATTTGAGACAAGAGCCTTGAGGATCTGGCCTCTGGACATCGGCAGCCGACACGTGAAGCTTGGAAGTGTTTCCTTTGTGTTTCGCGTGGATCAAGTGGGTTGGGAATTGGACCAGCGAGAGCTTTCCTTCATTCTCCTCCCCCAGAAATTCTTCCAAAACCCAAAGTCCACAGGGTTCCTCAGGGTGCTCATCGCCAGCGTCTCTCTCATGCAGCAGGGAACTACTTGGTAGATCAGGATGATTTGGAAAGAGGTCAGCTGTCAGCCTGTCAACAATGTTTAATGATGTTTAATGGCAACCATAGGACTTAAGACTGAACCTTCCGAACGCCGGGCCGTTGCTTGGTTGAAAGCTCCTAAGATCCAACCAGAGATCCGCACGATCCAACCAGCGAAACGTCATGCAGAACTGAGATCCGAGGCACAAAGATCGCCAGAACACGTGCAACGAACACTGCCATGGTTTAATACAGCCCATGGCAATGTTCAATGGATCTGTTCAATCTTCAGTGACCTCCTGAGTTGTGAAGGCTGTCATGGAACACTAGATGGTGGCAGCATTTGATACATTGAGTGCTGACGTGCCAAGTTCAGAAGTCACAGCTTCGCCTCAGCTGAGCAACCGATGTTATCCTCCGAGGTTGCTCATCAAAGCCCTTCCAAAGAAGAAGATGGCACTGGGTTCCCTACTCAGATGTGATCATTCTTGACACCCAAGATGGAAAGAAATTGGACTTTGGAATGATTTAAATGCTTGCTGCAACCATGTTTTTGTTGGTCCGATGCTGTTTTCAAGGCTCCTGCACTCTGCACTCTGCCCCTTTCCCACAACTCGTTTCAGTTCTTTTCAGTCACCGCGCCGACCCGTGTGACGCGACAAGCGCCGGGCCGTTGAGGTTTTCGCCCACGACCTTTGGAAAGAGCACGGCCGGCCGGTCTCTCAGCGCTTGACGAGCACGACTGGTACCCGCTGGTGACGTTGATGGAGGGAGGCCTCATGAGACGAACTGGTCACGGGCCCTGTGGGCACTGAGGTGCGCGAAGTGTGGTGCGGTTGGGGTGGGGTTGGTGGGCGCCATCGGCTCGGAAGCAGGTGAGATAGTGGAGCACTTCAACAAGGACCTTGTCTGGGGGGGGTTGCGCAGACATGCTTGGGACTCTGAACAGAACCAGTGCGTAAACATAATTGCCTTTAGGGATGAACCCTTGGCATATCTATCCACAGTTGCATGACCGCACCTGACACCAGAAATGGCAGAAATAACCCTATAGGGATCCAGTCGTATCTTCTCAGAAGGTACGACTGGACCCTCCAAACCTACATAGCGGTGTCTCCAATCACCTAACCTGACAAGGTACGACTGGATCCCTAGGCTTATAATATAACACATCTTACAATGACATATACATACCGTTCTTCCACTTCAGAGCTCGGAGCGTTCGGCATGGTGTTGCCTCTCTGAACAAGCGAAGACGTTCGGACCTAAAGAAAAGGTTTGGATATGTTTGGATATGATGTGTATTTGCTTCCTTTCTTTAATTTTTTGAAGCTTCAAAAGCGGGCAAATTACATTAGTTTGGGGAGTGTACGTGTCCAAGGCCCTTCAGTCCCCTTCCACTGCTGGTCCGCCAGGCACATCCTCGCCCAAAAAGTTGCGTTTCGTACGAGAATTCCTCCAAAAGTCACGCATGTATTGTTATCTTTTTGCGCACGACCGACGACCGGACTGGGGAAGTTACAGCAGATGGCTCATGGTGGCTGCAGGAGTGGCCATCCCCGAAAGGAAGGTGGCTTGCTTACTAAGAGCCAGAGAGGTAGACCCTCGGGAGGTTCTCCCTCTTTCGTGCAGCCTTGAGCACGCCTCAAGGAAGTCGAGTGACCCACACATTCGGATTCTGAAAGGAGATTGGATCCTTTCTGAAGCAGCGCCTCAGGAGCGCACCTACTCCTCCTCCAGTGCGGAAGCAGCGCGCCGGGGTGCCACGGGAAAGACAAAACCTGCTGTTGGACCGCTCCTTGCAGGAAATGATGTTTGACATGTTTGTCTTCTATAGTTCGAAAGCTCGAACTGGCCCAAAGGTTGGATTTCTGTTCTTTTCGTCACGAAAAGGGCATGAAGCTCATCCGAACCTGGACAAGGAACTCGGATGCATGCTCTAGTATGTCCGCTGGTTTGGGCATCGGTGGCACGGCCTCGCATTCAGTCCAATCCAGTCCCCCAAGCCCCAAAGCCTTTTTCCTCATCCCGTCCAAAGTCCGATGCCTTTCTTGCATCAGGTCGTAAGAGTCGCGTGCAAGCGTGGCGGAAACGCCTGGTGGGCGGCTTGAAGAAGCCGCGCGGACGCCCGGGTGGAGTGTGGTGGTTGTGTTGTGGTGGTTGTGGAGAAGAGCTTGATGAAGAAACAGAAGAAGAGGCAGCGCATTTTGTGACTTATCCTTTATTGACCTGGGTTAGTCATGGCATGAGGATGTTTTAGCTGCAAGCTGGATGGTGCCTGGGATGATCGCCATATCGCAATGCAGCATCATACAGAACATCTTTGGGGGAACTTTTGGAGGATGGTTCTGGACTGCAGTTGACTCCTTTGATGCGTTGACTCATTTAAGTCAATGGGTTTATATAGCTTCGCAGTTGATCCCCTCACATGGATCTGCCAGTCATTTGACCTCCACCCCTGATGTAGGACTGCTTCACCAGGATGCTGTTTCAACTCTTCCACCAGGTGACGTGTTCTGCCCCCCCGCCCGGTCCGAAACCCTTCGTCCTCTCCCTCTCCAGTGCTCCGTACTGGTCAACGCACCGAGGTGGAGACGGCAACAGCAGCAACCCTCCTGGGAGACGGTGCGAACTGCCCGGAGTCTCGGGGGGATCAATTCATGTGGAGTGGTCGTAGACCAAAGGCCCCAGCCACTCTCAACTCACAAGCGACAAGACCGACCAAAGACTAAGGACAGCCTGTTCTTCAATGAATCCTGGAGTGGAACGAAGTTCAACAAAACCAGGTTCTAATATGATTTGCGTGGGTGGTGCCGTCCCATATTGGACGGCAATTGATGATCCGGATGCTGCAACGGCCACATGCCGCAGTCAGGCTTTGTGGTCAGACGCCCCCCAGTCAGCCTCGACTTGAGGTCGAGCTCCATGAAGAGGAGAAAAAGCTGATCGCTCAGAAGCAGGCCCCTTTTGGCCCTTTTTGGAAGTGCTTGTGCTTGATTGACTCCCTGAACTTGCGGCATAGTTGCTTGGGATATAGTTATTGGGAATGATGCTGGCTCGTTCGCTCCCTTGCTTTCTCACTTAGTTGGAACAGGTCGGGATTTCATGACCTACCAGCACCACCCAGTTTGGATGGGATTCGATGGGAACAAACACATGGCCCGTCTATAAACCAGCCTTTGCGTTGTATGTTCTGTTTTTTCCTTTCTTGGACTTCAGCTTGCGGCACATGGAGCCATGCAAAAGCTGGCATGCACTCACCCTGCGCTTGGAACCACCGGTAGGGGGATCCGCGCAACTAACGGATTCACTCCGTAGTTGTTCTGAGCGGATTAGATTTGGGGGGAAGGATTTAGCAGTATAGCACCCACCCTTGAGCGACACGGCCAAGCAAAAATACCACACCTTGACCAGATCTCCTTTTCAAGTTTGGATGTGGGACTTCACATGGTTCCAGTGAGCCTTTGTTTCCGCCAAGTTGTGACTGCAAATCACGACCGGAGGGTGTTTTCCGCATCCGTCACGTCACGGCAAAGCGCCGCAAGCTGCCAGGCACACGGTTGTTTGCTGAGCTGGTGCTGGGCAATTCAGAACTGGTTCCTGGCTGCAAGCCACCCAGCCGCAGAGAGCAGAGTTCCAGTGCCCCTTTGTTCCTGGCAGTGCTGAGTCCGGCGAAGAGGACCACATGATGAAACATGGTGCGGAAAGCAACATCCGCACTTGAGGAGTTGGTTGGCTTTACCTTTGCATTTTAGTAATCCTCGGGAAGATTGGAATTGGTGCTAGGAGTTATTTTCGTGCATTTCTCCGTGGGCATGCCATGTCAATGGTCAATGATCATGTTTGAGCACACTCACGCCTAACACGCCTCTCAGGGCTAATGCAGACTGTTGAATAATAACCCCCCCCATCAGAATGGCCACATGGAGAGGGACTTTACTTTTCAACAGTCTAGTGAGTCTAGTACATCACTAAAAGACTCCAACCCCATGGCACCACCATAACAATGCAAGTGGTTACAAGCTGGTGTCGTGGGCAGAAGGCCGCAGCCACTGGGAGACCAGACATGTTGTACATGTGCAACATTGTAACCAAGCCGCTCCAAGGCTTCAATTCTTCGGCTATCCGATATCCCAATCCAAATTCGGAAGAGTTCACCCGTCTTCTTGACAAAAGGCATGCAAACACGTATCAAGATCCTTGTATGGCCAAGGGCCAGGCAGCATGCTACATGTAAGAGTACATCAACATGCTGAAGTACCTCCCCGAACCATCCAAAGCCTAAGCCAGTACACCCTAATATAACTCCTGCTTAAGGCAACCGTTCTTCACCAGCGATTCAGCTTCCGGTCCGGCACCGAGTCGCCAGGTGTTGGGGCGTTGTGCTATGCCACCTATGTGCTGATTGAAGTCTCCGTCCGGCCCCCCAAGACAGGATGGGAGAACTGGCCGGAAAAAAAACGGGATTTGGTCATATGGAACTGTTGAACCGAGATCCTGGTTTTCTGGCCCAGGCACACATCCACCTAAGATTCAGGTCTCAACCGCCTCACCCTCACTGCTAGGAGACGATGAGGTCCACCGCTCCGCTCGATCCGTGCCCCGAACTCCGCGACAGGTGGGCGCTTTGTCCTCCTTTCGCTTCGGTTTCTGCCAAGCAGAGCCCTTCAGGTGCAGACTGGGAAAGCGAAGCTGAGGTTCTGGGTTGGGCCTATGAAAGGCAGTTCTATAGGGTATAGCTGATAGCTATAGGTGAAGAAGATGGTTGAGGAGAACTTGCCGGCCACTGCACTGACTTCTTTTCGCAAGTTTGCCTGCAGCAGTCGGTCTTTGTAAGTAAATGTGCGCTGAAAAGTCACCCGCTGGTTCCTCCTCAGTTTCCCCCTGCTCAGATTGTTGATTTAGGTGTTTGGTTTTATGATGTTTTATGTTCCAATGTGTTATATTGGAATGTATTATATATACATAAATATGTATATTAGCATGGGGCATTTGAATCATTCTGACAATTTTCACAAGACAACTCGACGACAACGTGAACTGTCCCTGTGTTGAACTGATGTGCTTCTTTTCATCATAGGTGGCTAGTGGGCGTAGGGTGGAACGAGCCTAGGGTGGCAGTAGTAGTGATGCAAAGCACACATTTGATGAGTTTCTCTTATTTGGCTCTTATTTGTTTGCAAACTTGAACCATGACAATGAGGCTTGTGCTGGAGCACAAATGTCATGACATGTGCGTGTTTCTTTTGTGTGTTGAGGCATGCGAAAATGGTTCAAACAGGGGAGCAGGATCCGGTCGATCACATCCCTTATAAGCGGGTAGCATGCTGCAGGATATAGGCTGAGCTGCCAAAGGTGCTGGTCAAAGGGTATTGGCATCGGAGGTCCTGCCAGCCTTGGGGGGGGAGGGTGCCTGGGTCCACGAATGGTTCAGCCAGTCTCGCTAATGTATTTGGTAGACACCTCCCATCAACCGACCCCCCTTCTATTGTTTTAGGCTGACTTGTCTCCATGTGCTTGTGCTGGGGAATGACGTGCTTGGGAGATCAGCCGTGGTAGGAGCGAGGAGCATTGTCCAAAGGGGCAATGGGTGTGGATCTCAGCATGGGTCTGGAGCGCGGATTGGCTGGGACTCAGCTGTTAGATCAAGTGGATCTGTGAACTTGTTGGCACGGCTTGGGCGGCCGAATCTATTGCTGACTCGTTCTTTCCCGAGGATGGGTGATGCCTTTTTGGGGAAGGTAAGTTCCGTGCGTTTGGAGCAAGGGCCTAAAGAAAGTGATTCGAACCGAAGCCATGCATCACATGATGAGGTCCTGATGGACCATTTTTACTAATACTTCCCCTCTTCGTCGTGCACTCTGTTACAGAGGTGCTAATTGCTCCGTCCACGGAGACCACATTCTACAGTCAATGAGCATCAATGAACTGATATGAACAATCACACGTTTCTTGGACTTTCTGTCAATTCACCCGCCAATACCAACCCACTCACTATCTCGTTCGGGTCAACTCCTCATGCCGCGGCGCTACATGCATGTGGCGTGCCCGAGATCTCCTGGGGCGTGAACTTGTTGGGTTTTGCCGCTTCAGTGGTCTTGGGCACCTGGATGGCAGCTGCCAGCGCCTGGGGTGCCCAGATGGATGCCTCTGGGGGGGGGAGGCTGTCCAAGATGGAGGCTGTGCAAATGCACTCTGGTTCAAATCCCCTAGTAGCGTCCTTGCTCCTGGTAGCGATGCCCTTTGCTCCGTTCGTAGCTTCTTGCTCCGTTCGTCGCGATGCCAGGAGCCCCGTTCGTAGCGTCCTTACTCCTTGGGGTCGGATCGAACCGTCGGAGCCACACTGGCTGTCAGCCCCTCAACCGCCGCTTCGCCTCCTCTATTCGGTCGATCCTGGGTGCCGGACGATCCTGGGTGCCAGATAGAACCTTTGGTGTTCTTTGCAAAAGTGGCGTAGTTCTGTAGCCTTGTGAGTCTGGTCGAAGCCCATTGGCCCAACCGAAGCCCATTGGACCTGACGATCTGCAGGCGTTCCTGGTGAGCCGTTTCGCACCGGCGGCCAGTGGCTCTGGGATCCCGGAGGCCCGGGTTCTAAGAACGGATCAATATATAGACATGGCTCCTTGGCATCTTCAGCATGCCCTCCGCTTGGTTTCAGTTTATTTAGTTGGTTTTTATCTGCAAAAGAACAGGTGAACATCCACGATGTCTACACCCCAAAGAGTTGAATATGTTGGAAGCACATGGCTTAGAGGGGTCTTTGTTAAGAACTCTATGGCTCAGAGGTGTGGAGTGCACATTCCCCAGGCAGGAAGCCAGCGGAATTGTTGAAGGTGAGGGCGTTGTTGGGTGTAAGGGAGAGGTTCATGATCTCATATGATCTACAAGGGTAGGCATCTACGGGGCGTTGCTCCCTCCTTCCCATTCCAATTGATTTGCATCCACCATCAGGGTGGCTGAAAGGTAGAGACGTCCCCGGTACAGGACATGGCAAGAGTCCAAAGCAGGGTTGCCTAGGCACTAGGGGTCTTTGTTGCGAGGGTCAGATCTCCCCCACTTCTGCCCCAAATCGATCCGGGACGTGCTTTCGCGCCGGATGTACATGTATGAGTTAGTTTGTTTGGGGGGCTCTTTCTTGTTGCTTCCTTACTAGTGTCTCGGGACTGAACCCCATCGGCAGGTGAAGACCATCTTGAATGGCTTCGTACTACCAGATGTTGGCTTCCTAGACCAACGATGACCTGGTGGTGCTACCAGTCTAGATGCATTCTTTGAAGCTAGTGATTCTTTACCCAGACACTCCATGTATGGCACAATAATTTGCTAATATTGGAGTAGTTTCTGGGGTCAATCTCATATTATTCCTCACACGGAGTGTTTGGGATATGTATACTTACCTGGAGCATAAAATTATGGTTGGTTTCTATTTCGTAGAGTGTGCAGAGCGTACTCTCAGATAACATCAGGTAACAGTGTCCTTCATGGAGCGTGGCCTAGCAAACGGCCTCTGCATCAGTGTGCGTAGCCAGGAACTTTGACGACTTGAAGATGAACAGAGTCAATGTATCATGATCATGTATATCGTACTTACATCATCGACATACACCCCATCGGCCCCCCTACATCCCCTCAGAGCCTCACCCGCTACCAGTCTCTACCAGTTATCCTGGTTATCCTTTGGTGGTCACTCGTCGTCGGTTGGTCTGAATTTCGATAGAGGCCAAGGAATAAATGATGGATGTCCTAAAGCACTCGAAACAAGATAAAACCAGCAGAGCTTACGAGATAAACCGTCGATGAAGCCTAGGCTACCAGGCAGTTGCTTTTTTTGAAGCTCACATGAGCTGATGAGTTGACTTGCAGTCGCTTTGGTCACGCTGAGCTGTCAACATCGGTCACAAAGGTTGCAACCTTTCGCACTTTGTTCATCAAGGCCAGCGCCGATTCATTGGGCGGGTTTGGCCCATCACAGCTTTTTGAGCCTCAACAGAATGCGGTTTTGGGACGGTTCAGTTGATCATTGCTTTGGACGCAAGGGTAATATGGGAGAGACTCTGGGGCAAGGGTGTTGAGGGTGTTGTTCGATTCGTGCCTGGTCCCACCGCATGGGACTGGCATATTTACCTACCTTGGGGTGGTTGAAGAGGCATCAAATAGGTAACCTGGAGTGTTTGGGCAGGTTCTGCAAGTTTGGCACTGCTACCGGGACCGCATTCAATTGCGGAAACATGCGACCTGACTGGGCCAATTAGTGAGGAGCTCCCAGCTAATGGACTGTGAAACCGTCAGCTCACCAGGTGCTCATCATGAACCAAGTGAACACCTGCGTGTTTATGTGTGCATACTCTATCATGTATATGTAGTGGTATATGTATATACATAACATATAACATATATATAATATATAGCGTTAGTGACTGTGTGTTGTCATCCAAGGAGGGTTGTCATATGTTGTCATTTGGACGATTTAACCGTTGAATGGTGGAACGACCTCATCAACGACCCACGCATAACGACCTCAACCAGATGTCATGGTGCCATGCGCCCCGCCAGGTGCCATGCCTCATTCTTGCCGTGGCCTCCGGGCTATCCTTGGGGCATGAAGGTGACCTCGTTCTGGGATGCAGACGAAACGCGACCATCAACAGCACAAGCGTGTGGATGCACATGTGCTGATCAAGCTGGAAGGTGATTGGTTAAGTCGGTGATGTCTGGAAGAACGAGCGGGGACGGGAGAGGATTGCATACCTGGACGGCATACTAGCTCTTTGGTAGAAGATGGAGCGCTGTAAAGTCACATCATGAAAGTGAATCCAGATAGCTTGGGAAGCTGACTGCCCCGCTGAAACCGGGCACCGCTTGTCTCGGACCTCCATGCATAGGTCCTATGGTCCACGTGGGCGTTTGCTGGGCGAACCTCTTGTCGCGGCTCTTCCCGCAGTTTCGCAACGAAGGGAAGAGGCACAGATCTCACAAAACCGAGTCTTGGAGAGAAGGGAAGGGCATGGGAGGACTCTTGTGTGCGAGGTGAGGGGTTTGGGGATGGATTGGGGGAGGTGTGATTTGTTGAATGATCTCAATTAAGATATCTTAAGATCACCCAGATTGAGATAACAGAGTTGGTCAAACTGTGCGCGACATGCAGGTGAATTAATTTGGAGAACAGGTTTAGACTGGAATGTCACGTCAGTTGGAGAATCCTCTTTGCAACATGGAGTGTTCCCAATTCTCTAGTTCTCCTGGAGTAGAGCGAAGAAAGATTCAACAATGCAAAGGCCAATGGAACAGGTTCATATTTTCCATTCACAATTATTCTATTCCATCACTGGCTCTTTGCGAATTCTAGACTCGCAGGCAGCAGCTCTTTTCCGCTGCAGTGGCGGCTGGAGTGACTCGCCTCGTTCGAACGCGGCTGGAGGAAGTGACGAGGGATTTGACAAAATGATTAAAATAAGCAATGTCTTTCTTTGCGGCGCCAATTGAGGTAGAAAAGTGGATCTTGTAGTATTGCCAATCCTTTCCCTTTTGTTTAAGTATAACTTTATTTAATGAATGAGTGAATCAAATCATTTCCGGAAGAATTGCAGGACAACCAACAAGTCGTAGTGCTTCACTCCCAAATCCTCCCCCGTCCAGGTTCGCGGGTCCACACTACGACTCGCACTCGTTAGGGAATTTGTTCACAGCTGAATTGGACGTGATCGGTGGGGCAGATGCAAGCAGTGCGTGAAGGGCCGCGCTAAAACAATATAATAGCATGTTTAATCATGTTTGAATGGAACAGATGTCGCTTGCTCTTGATTCTTGATTTTGAAAACGAGACCCCTTCAGGAACTTCAACACCTGAGATTATGCATGACTTGGGCCCCCAAGTTCCCTTTCAAACCTTGTAGGTTGGGGTCATTGGTCACAGGATGCAACCTGCATGAACCGCACTCCTGGTACCGGCCCATCTTTAGTCTCCAAAGTGGAAATTCGGATAGGCTGGCTTCCAAGAGTGCCCAACTTGCTCACCACCTTGCTCCATCATTGCATCTACGAACGCACGCGTAGCTCAGCCCAGAGCGGCGCGCTTCAGCTGCTTCTTCGGTGCTCAGCTTCCACTGGCCACGTGGCACGACCCTCGACCCGCCAGTGTTGATGCAGGTGAGTTCAGCCTTTGGCACACCGGTGGGCGGAGTTCTCTTTAGCCTGGAGGAGGCGCCCAAACGCGAGCGGCGTGGACGACTTCTAGAGTGAAACACTTCAGGGCTCAGCGAGGCAAGGCCTTCTCAACGGGTTTTCAACGTGTTCCAGGGAAATCTCATTGCACAAAGCTTGGAGCCTAGGAGATGGGGACATGAAGTGGGACATTACATTTTGCTCCACAGTTGGAGCGCTTGGAGATGGGAACCAATGGTTGATTCATGTTGATTCAATGACCTTAGCAAAGTTGACTTGCCGGTTTGTGCGAAGGCAGCCCGCTAGTGCCAGGTGAGCTCACATTTTCCTTCCCGGACGCTCCTGATGGCTTTCGTGGCCTCTGTCGGCTGCTGATGGAAAAGGGTCGTTGAAGGTCTATTTTTTGGGGGAGAGGAACAGGGTGTTCTTGTGCTACTCGGTGGTGCGAGAATTAGTCCCGTGACCACAGGGGAGGGGTCCAACGTGGGATGCGCAGTGACATGACGCTTGAACCGCTTGGCTTGTTTAGCCTGGAGATGCCTATCGAGTTCCATCGAATTCCTATAGAGGTGTATACGAAATTGGGGATAGATGGAGATAGTTAGGGTCTGTCCTTTTACCTGTAACAGTCAGCAAACAATTATCATCATTTTTGAACAAGGCCGTTACTAACCATCATCATCCACTGGGCCCAGGTAATAGGATAGACCCAATGAGATAGTTATGATATGTGATGCTTTTTTCAGATGGGTCTCTTGGAAGCACCCGATGGGCACCGTTTGGAGAGACAACACATGCGCTCACCCTTTCAACCCATCCAAGATGTGTTTAATAAGGGAGGAGGAACATGTGAGTAGGTCCGAAGCTGCTCATACCCCCTCTAAAGTCATTTAATTGTATGGGCCTGCGCTCTTGGGGCCTGGCAGTCCATGGCTTTTCTTTTCGTGAAGAGGTCAGGATCGAAGGAAAGGACCAGTGACAAGTGCCAAGCACTGGAAAAAAAACATGAAAAAAACAGATGCCACTTCAGAAGACCTCTTGTTGCTCTACTTGCTGGCAGGTCCGACTTCATTCCGTGCTACTCATGTCGTAGCAACTACCAGTGAGCTTCCAGTATATAAGTGAGCCAGCCAACCGAGACCTGCTTCGAAAAGAGAACCCCGGGCCCCGGTGTTCCACCTGGACCGGTCGGTCGGGCCGCTCAGGTCGTGGCCACCTTGTTGCTCTCGGTGTCCAACCTCACGGGGACGGGTCACTTGACCTTGTACAGCGTGTCAGGGGACCTCAGGGGTTCGCGGACGTCACACCGGGGGCGGCCGCGGAGTCATGGCGGTTTACACAGAAGAGGAGGCGGTAGCGAAGAGGGGTGTGTGGAAAGGCGAAATCGCAGGAGCGGAAAATGCGAAGTGGAGGCCCTGATGCGCAAATGATATCTATAGCAGTAATTAGCTCCAATGATTCCTGATGCGCATGGTCTGACACTCTGACTTCAACCTGGTCAAACCCTCCATTTTCTGATCTCCTTTTGGTGACGTCGCCGTGGCTTCAGGACCTATACCGTGACCTTGCACCCCAGCGACTATGCGATGTTCGCCCTTTTGGGCGCCGCTGGTGGATTAGCCTGGCAGCCCATGCTGACCCGCCAGGGTCACTCACTTGATGATCCTATTGAGTCGAGTGAAGCACCTGCCCTGCTTCAAGTAGCAAGTTGAATCAATCATGTTGCGTATGTCATGTAGCTTTGCCTTGTGTTCCTGGCCACGTTCGTGTCGAGGTTGGTGCGCTCTTCAATGCGCTGAATATTCGGTGGGGAAGGGGGACACAAGCGTGTGGAGCATGACTCAATCTGGAGATGAGGGTTGAGAGTTGAGGGCCATTGAGGAATGTAAGCGTTGGTTGCTCGACGGGCCATGGTGGAACCATGTGGAACTGTGAAAAACTGTTGCCATGCCATGCCGATCAATCATAGCCGTTTTGAATATGTGCGTGGTCTATGGTTACGTTCGTCATACCGCCATGGTTCCGATGACATGTGCATCGCCGTCATGGCGTCACGCCTCAGGAATGTTGTTGCTTGGCGTTTGGCTAGACAGTTCTGGTTCAATCATCGCCAACGGCAGCCGGTGGACCAGGGAGGGGTTGTTCCCTACTCGGAGTGAGGGTAGAGTGATTGAAGCAATGTGTCCAAACATAGGAAGACGGGAATTGAGCAAAGAAATGAGTAGTGAGCATCACGTGCACTCAAGCTACTTGGGGGTTCAACCAGGGAAATATATATAATAGGAAGACCGAAGACCTAATTGCACCCGCTCGGACAAACATGCAGTGGATGAAGCTCACTGCGGAAAAGGACCAATGAATGACACTGTTCTTCCGGAACTTCCACGTTCTACCAACGACCTAAGAGCTTGGAGGTGGAAGTAATTGTTCTTTCTTTGGGGGTTTGGATGGAGTTTGGAGATGCTGTGATTTTGTGTCTTCAGGTGGTGTGCCTTCAAGGCCAAAGCGTCCTTCCGCAAGTGGGTCGGCCCTGTACAGGAGGTGCACCGCCACCGGGCGCCAAAACGGAAGAACAGGTGATGCTAAATCCGATGGTTTTCCAATTGTTCCTGCACAACCTGCGAGTTGAGGCTGTTTCTCTTTATTGTTTCTTCTGTGCGGTTTGTTGGGCCAGGGCGGTTGCTTTCAAGAGCGTAGTTAGCCCTCTGAGGGGCTGATGAAATGGATTTGACTTGATCAACTCAACTGCCAAACAGGGCCAAACATACATCTAGAATTTGCACTCCTGCCTTGCCTCTGTGAGGCCTCCTTCTTAGCCTTTCTGACCTTGCTCTCCTCGTGGCCCTTGAGCTTGACGCGCTATCTCAATGCCACAGACCCCAGACATTTGCAGAGATCCGCAGCCCACTGCGGAGTGTTGGATCTGAGACATGCGCTACATGTTGGATCGTCAGATGTCTAGAGTTAGTTTGGGATTCAGACCCATTTTAGGAAGGTGGTCAAGAAACTCATGCTCAAGCGGCTTTCACAGGTGTTTCCCACCCGGCCGTTCGTGCTGTTTTCACGCTGGGCGCCACAGGGCGTCGATGTACTCGACTCATCTCCCAGGCCCAGACCATCCATGCCCTCTTGGATACCTGCAGCGACGAGCCGGGCGAAACGGTACGGAGCAGGCCTGATCGCAGAGACCTGGGTGGACTCGCTGGATCGGCGGCCGGATCGCCGGCCCAAAGAAGATCTTACGAAATAACCCCAGCCTTTTGAACATCCTAATCAAGGCCTGGGGGGTGTAAAACATCAAGAGTCTACATGATGTTGGCAGATTTGTTTCAAATATATGCTTCTGTTTGGCAGACTTGTTTCATTCTAATTGCACAATTCGTTGGTAGTGATCATAAATGTGGGAGTGGTGGGGGGGTGCATGTCACAGCTCTAGACGCTGCATGGTTGTGTGCCCAATCGGATCGGGTGCAAGATTGTTCCCTTGAGAGGCACCATGAAGCATGCATCAAAACGAAGCGCGACATCTCAAAGATGAAGTTCCCCCTTAGAAATGGGAACACTGTCTTTGTTGCGCCATGTCGCGCCCACATTCTTCTCCATAGAGGCTGGCTGCTGTTTCTCCTCCATCACTATCAGAAGAAGCACAATACCGACAATACTATGCCAATACCCGCGTTTTTGGCCATATGGGGCCAGGTACCGAGTCGTGGCAAAGAAATTCAAGACCGGTGAGAACTGCCCGCCAAAAAAAACCACGTCCGTGTTGGACAGGGCATGTACGGAATCATCGGTTTGGTTTGGTGTTGGGGGATCTATCGCGGGGACTTCGAGATGGTTTGCTTTGAGAAGGTCTCCAGGATTCTCCAGGTGTCCTAGCCTTGAAAAAAATGTTTGGTGCCTACTGCCTACTTTTCAGATGCTCATGTGGGCGAGGTGAATCAACAGCCGTCTAGTATCGTCTAGCCTATCCGTCGTGTGTGAGATTTCTTCCATCAAGTTGTCGCAACATCAGTTTCACACACTAATTCGCACCAATTCGCGTTTTGTTGGTGGCTCACTTCCATTAGCTTTGAATGAGCCACTTTTCATGTAATCCGACGTCCAGGCTACTCACTATACCATACTGTACCATGATGCCCATCCATTTTGTTCAATGATCCCACTTTCTCGCAACTGCCGCGTTACCTTGAAAAACATGCTAACATCCTCAAACCAGTAGCTCTTCAACTGTTTTCAAATGTTTTCAACGTGTCCTCAAAAATCCAACACCTCCTTTGGCCAAGAAAGGTGCCTAGGATTCCTAGGACCTTTGTCTTTTGCGATCCACCGGGCTAATTCTTCGTGGGTGAGAGGTTGCCGCCCTAGTTCCAGGCTGCAGGCGGAGTTTGGACTCTGCACGGAGGATGGCTACAGCAATGTGGGGACACCGAGAGGGCAAAACCGAAAGGGTGAAAGCCTTGTGGAGAGCCGATGGCTGGACCATACTGGACGCCAGAAATGCCTTGGCGAGGAGCACAAAGGAGCCAGCTGTTCGACAGGGAAAGGTTCGGAAGGCTGCAGCACGGGTCATGGAAGCGCAGCGTTTGAAATAGCAAAGCGTTAAGAACCGATCGGCGGATTAGCAAGAATTTCAGAGAGTTCAGAGGAGCCGAATGGACTTTTGGCGATATGGGACTTCCATTGCCCTTTTAATAGGAGTCTCAATTTGGCCAAAGAAATGACGAATGACAAACAAAGATTTGCAAATTTGAGCAAGGCAGCTATATTCCATAGATGTTTGCTGGTGTTTTTGCACTTCCCTTAGCATGGCTCCTCTGATCGCCAAGCGCAGATGCCCTGGGTGGACCAATCCTTCGTTCCAACCTCCGGCCTCCAGAAACCCACCACGCACCGGCCAACCACATCGGATTGTCGCTGCGATCGCTTGGTTCCAGTCCTCCGGCAATGGGCTCTTGACGTCCTTGGGCTTTGCTGCGGCGATCCGCTTTTGCCACTCGGATGCGCGGGATGGAAGGCCGTCCACGGACAGAAGTAGGTGGAACCAAGAAGTCAATGAGTTTATCAAGACTGTATGATTGAACATGTTCGGAATAAATGAATCTCATGCAAGCAAGCAATTATCTGGGGGTTAGGCAGGACACGCGAGAAAAAATCAGAAGTGATGACCAACTATGACCAAATAGATTCCTTGTCGGGATTAATTTGCATCTCCATTTCGGGATCTCTCACATCCTAGGTGCACTGTAGATCTGAAAATTGCTGATTGACCTTCAACTCTTGAATGCATGGGGTTGCTAGCCTTGGCACCCCTATAGTCAGGTTTCACTCTCATCAAGGATCCTGCAAGCATCTAAGTGCATCGGGTTGTCTATGTTGTGGAACCTCCCATTTGTTGCCAGCAGCAGGGCCATCCCAACCTGGATCATCCAATAAATTGTCTTCTCCCGGGTCCCAAGCCAACAAAAATAGAAAAGAAGCACACACACACCAGAAACAGATGGTCCTGCTACGTCCTGCTAGTAGCAAGTTGGAGTTTGGTCCTTTGGGTTTCTTGGAGTTGATCTCTTGGAGCCGAGGTCAGACGGTTCTGACGATTGGCACCGCCTGTCCAGCGGGTCTCTTCGTGCCATCGCTCTTCATCGGCGCTTGCTTGGGGCGGGGACCTGAGAAGGTGGAGGACTGGAGCAACATTGGAACAGTTTCAATGACTGTCATTGATCGACATCAACCTTTATGCAGATGATTGACCCCACTGACGAAAATAGCTTTGAAGTGAGTTGACGACCGCGGTCAAGGCGGTGCTTGGCGCTGGGCCTCAAGGCTTTGAACACTGGGACACGTTTGTGCGGTGGCCTAGCGGCGCACGTGGGCGTTGGACTGAGCCCGTTTGGCATGCAGATGGTTGCCATCAATGGTTGACCTTCGAAGGACGGGGCCGTGAGTCGGACATGGTGCTGACAATGCCAGTCTTTAGTTGAAGCATTTCAAACATCACATGTTCTACCACCAATGCTCAATGGTCGATGCTGACGCCCAGGTTTCCCCACAAGATCGATCCTGGCGCCCGGGCCTTGGCAAACGTCGGCACAGAGCTGCGACACCCGGCGATGTTGCAGGTGAATGGAGCTAGAAACCGGATCAACCACACCTTCGTGTGGCCAATCCATCACACAAGTCGTGTCACTTGCTTCAATGATCCTTTGCACCATTGAACGCCATTAAGCACCTAGATCAGAGCCTTCTTCCTGCTCGCACGCGCCAAAAAACACGTGACGGGTCGGGCGCGAGGTCTACTCCATGGTGGGAGCCGCCTCAGTCTTGGGCGGCGTCAGTCGGATGACCATCTCCCTGGTGGTCATTATGCTCGAGCTCACCGGAGGCCAGACCTTAGCGACCGAGATGTCCGGACGGCCGGGTCGGCGGGTCCCCTCCTTTTTTTCGGACCGGGGGAAGTTCATGATTTGGTAGATTGCCAGATGGATACCTTTGATTGTTTGGGAAGGGGGATTGATTTGTTCCTATGACACAAGAATTGGTAGACACTGGCGTTTTTCTTCCAGCCATCGCAAAGCCGGGCGAGGGAGGGAGGGAGAGAAGGAGAGAAGGAAATCTTCCATCGGCCTGCCTGGAAGACATGCCACTGCCATCCACTGCCCACCATTTACCCAGTGCAGTTCTCAAGAGTTCCAGCTTGCGGGTGTTGGATGGCGTTGCAAATGACAAAGCCTGAAGAGCCTATGATACCTCATTCTTTCCTCACTCTTTCAGAGTCAGGCACATAGAAAAAGCATCCGACTCACTTTGGAACGCGGTTGACCCTGGGCCCGTTGTTCTCCAAGGTTTAGACTACATCGTGCCCTTCATGATCTCGGTCCTCCTCGCCAAGGCCGTGGGCGACTCCTTGAATGAAGGCCCAGCCCACTGCGTGTAGACTCGGACGTCGAAGGCTGCAGATCCCACCGATGCGGTGGTTTTCTTCCCAAAAAGAGCCCTGGGTAGGGCCGATCCAGCCATCCAGAAATCTTCCGGCCGTGTTTGGAGGTTTGCAGTGGAGTTGCAGTGAAGAGCGTATAGGCCGTATGCACCTGTTTTTCTTCTCAGGAGTGAAGCCGGGGCGAAGAAGGGCAAAACCATGGGCGACGGACCAGTATTTTGATCACTGTTCGCTCGTTTGTGCAACCCTGGCACCGCAGCTCGATACTGCAAAAAAATGCAGGTGCAGGCGCTGAGCCTAAAAGCTTTTCAAAGTGCAGCTGCCACAAACATGGAGACATTGGTTCACCACCTCATCACTTGTCACCACATCATGCCACATCACAAATGGCTTCATCTCGGGCCATAAAACCTGTCCCGTTTTTTGATGTTGATTGAAACTTTTGCCACCTGGCTTTGCCAGATGTTGCCCTGTTATGAGGTTTGGAGCCTAGAAATAACAGCGTCCCATCAGCGTCCCAGCAGACATCGGATATTCGGGATCTAGAACCACTGTCGCTCTCTACTGTGGATCTAAGTCATACCGCAATCAACAGCACAAAGCACGCCGATGTGCTGGCTAACAAGGCATCTACGATCTGCAGATCGTGCTGAAAGGCTACCCCTTCTTGCATGAGGAGCGGGGGCCCCAAGGAGATCAAGTCAAGCAAAAGACTCGCAATAGCTGGGCAGACTGTAGACGAAGACATCTAGGGTTTTTTGTTGGTCTTTGTGTGGCTAGGGAAACCTTTTGGCCCACATATGGCATTGACCATGCATTGACCATATTGACCCGCATCAGAGCCATTTGATGAGCACAGTCCTCAATCAAGCATCAAGACTGCATGCACTCCATGAACCAGATATAACCATGCAGACGAATCATCAATGGACTTGCTGATCTTGGCTTCTGGCTGCCTGCTCCCAGCTTCGTCCCTGCAGTGGTCACCACTCAACAGCATCTGGCCATCTCTGCGCGTTCACGCCACCGAGCTCCGTTCACGCAGCCTAGGTTGGATGTGACCTTTACAGAGCGATGCTGCGATATCATGGAGACCGGTGTGGGACCCTGGGACCTTGGCAAAACCACACCGTGGTGCGCTGCATCTGTATCTACCGCGTGCATCATATCTGGTCCCTGGATGTAGGGGACGGTGTTTTGTACCATGGACGTAGGGGAAGTCTGTGAAGGAGCAGACATGTTTTTGGACATGTCTCAAATGCTTGGGAGGGTCTCCCTGTGGGGAGGCCTATGGGGACAGCCCAGGCCCTCAAGGCTCAGCACGCACAGCATTGGGGAGTCTTTCGCTCCAATCCGTCGCATTGAGGCCTGGTGAAGCTAGACCTCAATCTCCGCCCTCGATTGCAGGAGATGGAATATCGCGTGAAGACTCTTCGGGGGTTTTGCGAAGGATGAATCGTTTGAAGCACTTGGTGACTTTAGTTGCACTTGATTGCACTTGCTATCACTTGCTTTCTGCTTGGATGAGCCCCTTTTCACAGCTGGTTTTCTGCTTGGAACTCGCTCTGGGTGGCTTAAGCCTTCACAAAATCTGACATTTGGGGAGTCGAGGAGGTCACGAAGCCTCAGGTTTGTGCTCCCTCAAAAGGGCCTCCTTGGCTGCAGAAATGCTTGTTGCATCTTGTTCTGCAGAAAACCCTGGCTGCGGACCTGTGAGAGAAATGCCCAAAACTTTTTGAGCAAGCTAGCTCAAGATAGATCAAGCAAGACATTCTCTTGTTCCCAGTTGCTCAGTTTCAGGTGCCACACACCCGCCGAGCCAATAGCCACTGCCGCTGTGGGCGATGTCCGCTGCCTGGAGGACCTGCGGGTGATGGTTCGCGCCTTCACCTTTCGTGGCTTCCCCATCGTCGATGGCGACTTCTTCGCCGGACATGCCCAGCCAGAGATGCACATGGAACCTTTTTTTGGGGTGGGCAGATTCTGGAGAAAGGGGAGGGAGCAGAATTATTGGGATCCAGGATCCATTGGATCCGTGTTTTCACTTTCGATCTGGTTGCTACCCATTTCAAGCTTTGGAGCTTCGATGGGCTGAGGTGGGCTATGTTCGCCGATCACAGCCTGGTACCCAGATGAGGTCACTGACGTCCACTGTGTGTCTCGTGACAGGCCTCAGATGTTGTCAACAATACATATTTATAGCAGCTGGCAGCTGATTGATTTTTTTTGGCCCCAGCTGGTTTGTCACTGACCTGCACTGGGATGAGAGATGACAAGCGCTCCGAAAGTGAGCCTCGCAAAGCAGGCACATGGCAGGTTAAGGGTCAAGCTCGTGCGTTCACCTCTCCGTTTTCCATGGTCATGCTGTTCTTGGCCGCCCGTTTGGTCCGCTTCGCGTCCGGTTTTTTCGCCTCGGACTCCGACCGGGTCAAGGCTCGAAGATGTTCTTGCGCGCATGGAGCTGGTCAGAGGTCAAAACGAGGCCTGGCTCGGATGGCCAACCAGTGGATACGGCACCTTTGGTGGAGGGTACCGGGTACTGGCGGTTAGGGGTACAAACCGGTCCCCACATGAAGGTATTCACTGGAAGTACCCGGACAGCTCTATGCCTTTGAGAAGCATAAGAGCATATAGAGCTTTCGCCATCGATTGCAAATCAGACGTCAAGTGTTATGTGTACGTCAATGAGGGTACCCTGCATATTATACGTCGAACGGATCATCTTCCAGGAGTATTCATGTCCTCAGTTGCGTCCTTCTGTCGAATCGGTGTCACCTGGTGCACTGGAACCACCCAACCACCCAAGTTGCTGCTGCATGACGAGCGGAGGCTGCTTGGCGTCCCCTGGAAAGAAGGAACCATCAGAGTTAGCATGCAAATCAAGGTTCCCCAAGTCACATTGCTTCGCATAATGGTCCTCTCCCCGCAGGTCATCTCCTTGGATGACTTGCTTCCAGTGGTCGACACCACTGCCGACACCTCGAGTAAGGGGTGAAAGTGTCAAGTCAAAGGGCCCGGTCGAGAATTTCGCCTTTGTGTGGGTTCAACGATGTTCTTCAGTAATGATAATGTTTCATTTCGTGTCATTCATGTTTTCGCGGTGTTTCACGATAGGTATTTGATAGGCAGATGGATTGAACACCCGCGATTTCACAATGGTTTCTTGTTTTTTTGTGCTCCATGTTCCCTGGGTTGCTGCCAACACACAGAGCCAATGGAAATGCAAACAGTGCCAGTAGGGAAATATGAAAGTGCCGCCCCCTCAAGACATCTCAAGACAGGGACCCTTGTTGTTGCATATATTATTACCCGTATATACCCGCATACCTTTTTGAGGTCACCCAAGCCACATGTGCTGCTCAGGTGATGCGCATGGTGCCGAATGCCCCCTTGACCCAGGCACATCAAGTCTTCAAGCAGTGCAGCTCCCCAGCCGGACGCGGCTTGAATGGAAACGGAAACGGCGGTTCAGAAAAATCATGAAGAATCCCCAGGCGTACTCTACAAACTTGTAACCCACCTGGTCCTGTTCACAGTCCTGAACTTGGATTCACTTGGATTCCTGGATTCGAGTCGATCTTGAGGATCGAATCCAGGAATCCAAGTGAATCCAAGTCCGTAGTGAATCGTTCGTCGGTTCGGTGACTCCATGTCTTCGCCTCACAAGAGTGACCATCTTTAGGCTGGGATGCCAGCGCATTTTCTTGGTGGGCTCCATGCCGGGCGGGCAGCAGGAGCCATTCTGAAGCTGCGATGTTCCGGGAATCCACCATGTTTCGCGTGTGTGTGTTTGGCGCTTTTACCTCACTAACATGTAGAAAGTCGATTTCCAAAAGGACCATTTTCCATGCACTTCTATGTGTTAGTGAGTCAGAGTGTACGTCCTTCTTGTCTTTGCTCGGATCATCAAGTGAACCGGCTAGCACGGAAGGCGTGGAAGGCGTAGGCGGACCGTGCGGATGGTGAAGTATTCTCAAGCTGCTCATGTCTCATGCACTCAATGACCTCTTGTTGGGGATCCATTCTTAGAGCAACCCTCAAGCATTCCCTTTGACCACGAGAAAACTCAGCAAAAACACAAACATTATCCTTGTGCAGAGACCTGCAGAGACCATGTTCGTCGCCCTCTGTCTTGGAAGATCCTAGGCCCCTGCCACATCTGTATGTGTTCCACTCACGGATGCGAAAGAGACTTAGTCAATTGTCACGTGAAGAAAACGTGTGGAGGGGAGTGCGCTTCTTGTAGTGTTTTGCTTGATCAATTGACCAACCAAGCATACACACGACTGCTTTGTAATGTGGAAACTCCTAAACTACAACTTGGAATTGCTTTGCGTGCGTGCCAACTCAATGGAAGGACGTCTTGCAGGGCATCATCACGAAGAAGAACTTTTTGAAGTTCTTGCAGGATGGAACCGTGCTATGCTTGGGATTGATTCAATTTGTCAAGCTGGTATTGGGGGTCTATAGTTGTGTTTTTGCATTTCTGTTTGCAGCTAGCAGCCTCTTTTCATTCTGGATGCAAGCCTCAGATAGCTATAGAACCCTTCTTGAGAGTGCAAAATTGCTTTGAACCTTCCACGAACCTGGAGTTATTCCGAGTTATCCAAAATCAAAAGGTGCCAACAGACAACAGAGAACATATAAGCTGCATGTTGCCGGTATCTTCTATTATCTTCTTGGGTTTTAGCATGGCACCTACTGCCGAAAAAGAATGAAACTGTTGGATTAAGCAATTGTTGCACGTTATACTCCTATTGTTCGTGGATGTTTCTTCATTTCCTTCCTAGCTTTGAGGCCGATCTCCCCAAAGAAGTTGTATTGCAGCTGAGGTTGGCCACATCCCAGATGAGCTGGCGGCTGAGATACTGTAATTATCGGAGGTTAAGTTGGACATTGATGTCGACAGACAGTAATGACAACCCAAAATGAAACCATTCAACAAGCAGACTGTCATTATATACCACTCTTGCAGTTACTTGCAGAGTAAGATGGACCCCGAAAACCACTAAGTGGTGCGATGAGAAAAGTCTTATCACGGGATCCATTTTCACTGTCCATGCGGTCGTTTGCGGAGGGTATGTCGTATATCATGGTACACCGACTTGTTCCGAATGTATGGTGCATCCAACCTACACTCCTGACGAACACATCACCTGGAAGTGGATGGCCTGATCCCCTTTGGCAGAGGACTCCTGTCCCCTATCAACAGGGAGTTTTCATGGATCGTTTCCCACTGTTTGGCCACTTCCACGTGGATGCAGCACGTCGAGTGCAGTACAACAAGCAAACCGATGGGTGGAAGTGGATGGCACCTCCTTGGGCACCACGGTGGTGAAGACCACGACTGCGTGGCGGTGCCACGTAGAATCACGCGTGCCGTGGTGTGGTTTGTCGTGGTCTTCCAAGGGAAGTACCAAGGGAGCAACAAGTACCTGGGACTCCAAGGAGCATCCTGCTTGGGGGTGTCCTGGCTGGACTATCCTATACAACTTCAATTAGGGATCTCCATTGTACATGATGGTCTAGGTATGTCCAGGTATCCAGGCCTGCCTCGGCCCTCAGGTTGCGGCTCGCCGGCTCGCAGATGGAGAGCAACGGCCCGGTTCCAGTTGGTCTGGTGGAGGGAGGGAGCGATGGAGACATTGCGCCAGGGAACGGTCATGGTACGGTCCGAAAGAAGTCTAAAGATGTCACACCTTCCATTTCAACACCCAGAATCCATGAAAACTATCAACACCCAGTGTTTTTCCATACTATGTGATATTGATGTACACCATATTATGGAAGTTCAGTCTGAATGAATCCATTTACTATTCAATACCCAGACACGAGCTGTCTGGGACTGCCATAGGACTGCCGATCAGTTGGGGTGGTGCCAGGGGGGGTCAATGGGGCGGCATATATGGCAGTCCCATGGAATGTTTGGGATATACTGTTACTGTATAGAAAGGGCGGTGTTTACGATGAATTTACGGTATATGAATGAATCATAATGAATCAATGTCCAAAAGGGCGGTGATGTGTTGATCATCTATGCCAGGCAGGTCCTTACCTTCACCGGTTCAGGCAGGTCCGCTTCGGAACCGGTTCAGCGCCCAGGCGCCAGTGCTTTGCGCTTCTCCTATGAGGGGTGCAGGGCCAAGTTGCTGAAGACGTGGGGGCTCGTGGATTCACATCAGACACAGCCAACCGGTGTCCAGGTGCGGTCCCCTTGCGCAGTCCGAGCTCGTTCCGACGGGTGACGTGAGAACAGGTGACGTGTCTCGAGCCACGTGAAAAAACACGCCGTTCAACACGACTGCAAGCTTCTGCGTTTTGGAGCATTTTGACCAGTAGAGATCCCACATTTCCAGCAACCATAGAAGACACCTCCATTGCTTTTGCACTTGGCGTGGTGCAAGTCATGACGCCTTGCCTGGTTTCTGGTCCCCCGTGGCAGCGCATATAGTTTGTGCGCAGAGGCCCCGATCCACTTGCCCGATGCAGAGCATGTAGAAGCTCAATATAGTATGATATAGTATGTATATATACACGTACTGTAACCTTCCAGGCTGGCTTTGTCATTTGTCAGATGTCCTTCCTTTGAGCATGGGATTTACACTGCGATTTACATTGGTTTCAGAGTAGGTGGCACAATTCCAAAGACTAATGTGTGTATTTACTTTTTTAGAGATGGAGCCCATGTAAACCACCAAACCTGGGGGGTCGTACCATCTAATTATATACTCTCAACCTTACATGTAATGTTTGATGTCCCATGTCCGTGAATTTAACCACCCCAGTCCCACCCCCATGATCCCCCCCACCCCAGTCCCACCCCATGGCGCCCCCGTCTTCGTCCAAGGCCTCAGCAGGAGAGCACGGCGTCGCACATCCGTTTGGGCGAGCTCTTCTCTGTGCTCGACGCGGCCGCCGAAGCCGGCGGAGAGCAGAGGAGCGGATGCGGAGGCGGCATCAGGTCCGGTACAAGAGGTCCGGTTCACTTGGGATTCCAACAGAACAAGAGCACGGATATGGTGTACATCATTACGAACTTGCTAATGGATGCTTCTTATACGCGTTTCTTGATCTATCAATCAATCTCAATTTGTGAAAGCCAGCCGATGGGCTAGGCTGAAGTTAGTTTTGCAAAAGAGGTGCGGAACAGTTGATGTGAACCATATTAGCCTGTTGGATCCTGTTGGTGCTTTCTTTTTGCCAAGCAGGTGATTCTTGAAGGGTTGGTGATGCAGAAGATGCAAGATGAATGGGCTGATCATTCATTTGCATCAGTCTGCTCAAAAACGACACTATATATACAGTAGTTTCTGCGCATGGAATCTTGGGGGAGACTCACTGGCTCAATCTCGCTCACGGTTGTTCAAACATGTCGTCCATCTATCAGGTAAGGTTAGTTGTTCCCGGCTTTCGTGGTCCCTCCTTCTCCGGTCACGGGAAGTCGCGCCCGTTGGGCCCGTTGGACCCCGGAGGACCGAAGACCAGCTGAGTTGGGCCCCTTCAGCCAGCGACGATGAGGCGAGGGGAAGATGGAAGATGAGGAGGTAGACATAGGTGAAGTCCAGTGACTAATAGTCTAGTGCCATAGTGCTGTTACTTTGAGATCGCCATGGCTGTCGTTTGAGGTTGCCATGACCAGGTTTGGAGGATTCCATTGGAGGATCACCCTCTGAAAAGCGGACCAACCGCCGTGGCCTTGACCAGGCTGCAGAAACATTGAGCACCACAACCCACGACCCTCGCTGTCATGTGCTGCAGCCCTTTCCACAGGCTCACCAGCGGCACGAGGCCAATGGCTCGCCGCTCTCGGTCGGCACCGGCCAGCCCGGACCGTGAGCAACGGCCCGTGTTGGACCCGCGCGGAGCGGAGCATGGCGCGAACGAAAGAGCGGAGACGGAGCGGAGACCCCGAGACGAGGTCAACGGTGTCCCCGGCGTCGCTTCGGCGGAGAGGGCTTGTCATGGCAAATTGAGAACGAAGGAACAAGAACAAAACCAAAACAAACATGGGGGGTGCATTGGGGAGAGAGATCAAGTATCTTCCATGAGGCAATGGCGAGTTGGGAGATTCATAAGGCCATTGCGAGCCAGTAAACTCGCAGTCGCGGGAACATTGGCAGAATTTTGTAGCACCCATGGAAACCATCAGCACTGCTTGTAGACTTGCTGCACCAAAAAAAAGCCGGAGCAATTCCAATCCTTTAAGTTCAGTACGGCACCGATGACGACTACGACGACTACAACTACGGCTGCTACTACTACTGCTACTACTACTACTACTACTACTGCTCCTCCTCCTCGTCGTGTCGTTTACTGTCCACTTTTTCAATGGTTGTGCAAGGGCAGGTACCTCCCCAGAACCTCCCAATCCTGCCGCATGTTCCCCCGCAGCTTCTGACGCCAAACGCCGGGTGCTCCGGGCCATGGGGAGAAGCCATGGGTTCCGGCGCCAGCAAGAAACCAGATCCGGTGCCAGTGAGTTCCATTGGGTCGAGCGTCAGCGCTCCCTCAGAGCCCGAGCCTGTGGGGAACTCCCAGTTTGAAGTGCACAAGTGCAACATCAACAAAAACAAACCTTTTGAGCAAGACGGTCGTTGGATTGACGTTCTCGCATGAGGTGTTGTTTTCACTTGGTCCTTGCCAGCGGTGTTTCGCTTTTTGGGGTGGGGGTGGGTTGAACTTCATGATAGAAGTCAAGAATTGTAAGTCAATGACTGGAAAGGACTCGGGAACCTATTTTTGAGGGCTATCTTGGTCAGGTCAGGTCAGGTTTGGACCGTCCTGTTTCTGAAGGTTGATTGTGATTTGCAAAGCTATCATCCACATAAGTCTGGAGCATTCACTGGTAGCCAGTTGCAGCGCAACAGCGCCACAAAGTTGAGCTGTACCTACGAGAGTTGCAGTTGAATCTTTTTTTTGCAGGACACGGACCCTACCTGATAGCCCCATTTGCCTCCAAGCAACTGCGGGGTGTTTCCCTCAACCCGCAGCAAAGGCTGAGTGAGCACCGAGTCAGGTTCCTGTCCGAACCGCGACCATTGACAAGCCGGATGAGAAGCCAGACATTCCGAAGGTCAGTACCAGGACGGTGCCATTGGGTGCCTGACGCACCCCAACCCCCCCCAAACAAGCCGCTGATACCCACTCTGCAAAAGAAACGAGTCATTCCATTCCCAACTCATGTTGGGCTGTGCTCGTTTTGTCATGCTTCCTGTAGGGGGTGTGGAGGTCCCATGTTCCACTTACTGGACATGTCTTGCCGGAAATTTTCCAGAAAGTCCTGCCCGGTTGCTTGGTTTAGAATTTAGATGCAAGTCTAGCTATAGCAGCTACGCGGACGTCAGTGTCGTTTTTGGTGCACGCCTGCCCCATTTCGTTGCGCTCCAATTTCAGGGACGGCTACTCAGCTACTCCAAGTCGTGCGTTTAGTTCACGTCCTTCGGACGGTGCGACCGCCGGAGGCTCCGGTCGCCGGAAGAACTCGAAAAGGATCTACCCAAGCAACCCAGGAGCAACCCAAGCGTCACCGATGCCTTGCCAGAGTATTGGCACCTCGGACCTAGCAACCGATGCCGGACGGCCGTTGTTTGAGAGACTCGATTGGCTCGCGGCTCGAGTGGCGGTTTGGAGGGCCAGCCCGCTCTGAGGTAAGGGTTCTTGCCGTGGGAGGAGGTAGGATGCAACAGTTTTTGCAGTGTTTGTGAGGATCCCGGGCCTCTAACTGGTCACTGTGAGCAACCAGTCAGTATTATCACTTCAGACTGGGGATGACTGGGGCCATCACATGGTCAAGGTCCCACCTCCTTCCCACCGAACAACTTCGAACACTGCATGTATGTATGGAATGTTTGTCTACATTGACCGCTCTTCAACACCTTCAACATCTTCAACCCCAAAAATGTAGTACATGATGCCAGCCCCACGGAGTGTCTAAAAGATCGAAGGCCATAACATGTATGCATGCCCAAAAAAACCCCTATTTAAACATCCTTAAATGATCTCAAAGTTCCGCTTCCCACGAGTTGCAGGCGTCTAGGTGGTTGGGCGAATCCATCGACCAACGGCCATGTGATCCGGGAAGAATGAGACATGGCGCGAGTCCGCTGGATTGGAGCTACGGCATATTGCTTGGGTTCACTGATTCACTGCATCCCTTGTATCAACCACCCCAGGGTGACCAGATGCGGCCTGCTGCTCGCTCAGATGTTGCTTCCTTCGTTCACCAGGTTGGATGAATCGCTACAGCTGCCTTTAGCAAGGAGCTCCTTGCTGCCGCAAGGTCAAACACAAATCCCCTTCATTTCCCTTGTGTGTCACGCCCGCTGAGGTATCACAACAAGACTCCGGCGAGCGTCGTATTTGATGAGATGCACCGTGGTCGTGCAATGGGATCAATGCTGGGTGAGGGATTCCCTCATTTTGTTTGTGGAGTTGCTGGGTGCTTTGTCAATGATCTTGGTGGCCACTCAATGGGGATGGCTCAAACCCACAAAATAAAGGATCAGGCGCCGCCTTTTGTTGATGTATCATGATTGATCACACATCCATTGTGCCCTTGCGTTCTGGAGTGGACGGGAACATACGGGAACTATTGGTTTTACTGGTTGTATGGAATAGTTGCTTTATTGTTGCTTTGGTTGAGGGATGTGGAGGGTTAAAACGTGTAAGAGCACAAATAGGAATGGTAACTTGTCAGAGATGGACAGTTCTTACTTTCGACCAGCACAGTCATGCGTGCACTGGGATTGGTTTATTCACCCACGGTGTGCAGGTGGTCGGGCATCCAATCACCGGGCATTTTAGGGTTCACCAGGGGTATAGTAATTATGGGGCTGTCAATTTTTTCATGCCAGCTTCCTAGCTGCTGGAAGTAAAGTAAGTTCACGTAGTTTGGATGCAAACTGGATGATTTGATAGACATTAGACAAGCATTTCCCGGGTGTGACGTGGATTTTGCCGGCTGTGCAGCTCAGCTGTCCCGGCCCGAGGTGCAATGGTTCATAGATCAGATATGAAATGAACCAAGACAAATATCATTAAGCTCCAAGAGAAATGACTACAGAAGACCTCCCAGGACTACAAAGACTTTGCTGGAAACATGCACCGGAATTGCGACAAGTTTTCTGTGGGACTCCAACAGAACCCAATGCTTTCGCAGTTCTTGCACCGTCCAAGATGCCTCCTAGCCGGTCACCCCTCAAGATGCCTCCGGCCTATGCTGAGGTATTACACGCAAGACAAGGATGAAAAGGCGCATGCGGCCTTCGATGAGATGTTCAAGGCATCTTATGCGCCTTGGATGGTTCAACCGAGAGGCTGTTTTTCAGTGTGGGAGGGTGGGTGGGAGCCTCCTTTGGGCCGCCAAAGCAGCCACGAGACGCTATACATTGTGACGGTAGTGGGTTGCGCAGCTTGGACGGTAGTGGGTTGGGGCCCGCTCTTGATGTCTCCAGCCACAGCTGTGAAAGTCCAATTAGAGCGCGAGAGGTTATAGAGTAAAGCGAGAGGTTGGCTCAATGCTTGCCAATGGCGGATCTTCAGCGGTATGACAGGATTGTATAGAAATAGTGAGGACCCACGCAAAAAAAAAAAAAGGCACAGGACCCCTCCTCCACAAACTCCTAAAACGGGTCCTGGTGCAGGACACGTTTTTTGCACCAGGTGGCCAGCGCCACACGGGACCGGCCTTGTCCGTCGAGCTCTTGCGCCAAGACACCCGGAGGGTGTCCTTGTGTGCAGCGTCTTGGCGTTGGAGGCTTGGGCCGTGCTTTTTGAACAGGTAGAGGTAGACCCGCGAACCCAGGCCGTTGCCTGGAAGGTCTCCCTATTCTTTTTCTGGGTGTTCCTATGGGATATACTGTCGTTAAGCCCCCTACAGATGTGCTGCTGAGAGACTTGCCGTGAAGGTTCCTCAAATCCCCCAAGGTTTGCTGCCTGGCCAGCTGAGGCGACCTCCGTACCGAAACACGATCCCGGTACCGAAGAAAAACAGCTGTTCAATGCTCTGAGTGCTTCACCCAAAGCTATGCTGGGTCGAGATTCCCGGTCTATCCACTCCACGCTGCTTTTCTGGCGATCCTGTAGCCTTTTTCCGGGCATAGTGTGGATGAAGGGGCTAAGAACACAAAAACAGCTCCAGTCCACCTTTAGCACACCACACCTCCCACCCCCCCCGAGGCCCGGCGCCGACCCGGGACTTCCCGTGGCCTACCGCACGCGCCGCGTGATCCGAGTGGAGGCGGGACAGGTGTCCGGTGTCCGAACTGAAGCGCTTCCAGGCGGCTCAAGGAGCTGTGCTGGAAGAAGAATCAGCACCCACAGGGGTTGTGTATAGAGCCCCTCACCATATAATTGTTCCATCCAACCACCCTTATTTTCGGGTTGGTGGTGGGTGTCGTGCGCCTTTGTTTTGGCACAAAGCGGGAGAGCCAAAGCCATCCCAAACATTCCCAAACCCTAGCTTTATACTACCAAACGTATTCGAACAAATCCCAAACATAATCACTGTTTTGTTTGGGAAACTGTGGGTCTTCCGGTCAGGCGACCTGTTACGATGGTTCCAGAGATTCACGTCTCGAGGTCACTCGGGGAGAACCGAGCCCCACATCCTACCACTCCGTGCGCGGCCTACCCGCGCGTTCCTTTGCCGTGAGGTAATTGGTCTTGCCAAGACCCCGAACTTTTGAAATGGATGGTATTCAATCACCACATGACATTAGTGGAGGGAGTTTGCAAAAGGGACTTATGCTGTTGCACTAGCAGCAACAATCACAATTCACCGGCAACTTCCACGAGAATGCGCAGCATTTGGGATCTCAAGTTCCATAAACGCCCGGGGTTGCTCCCCTCACATTGATTCCGAGACGTGTTCGACAGTTGATTCCGGAACCCACAGGCCGCTGACATGTGGCGAAGACCCTCGGCAAAGATTTGGCTTTCCACTGAAGCACTGGAAATGCAGGTTTGGCAGTTGC